CTTACCAACTTGGACGGGGGGGTGTTGAGATTAGTTTATTATTTTTTGAGCAATTGTACAGATACTATAAATACACTACCCCTGTATTTTCATTTCTTTTTTTTGAAGTTTGAAGAAATAAACAAATATGCTCCTTCTTTCTAGAAGGTTCATTTTCGTGTAACTGCTTCTCTCTCTCTAACAGTCCGCCATTAGAGCTCGAATTGAGCTCATCTTTCTCTGTCCTCGATTATATTCAAGTTTTCACACAATGAATTTATATTTTCCATATGTTATTTATCACTAGTATAGGAAGAATAATACAGAGGTGCTAATCTTTTGGTGAAATTTACAAAAAGGGAATATAAGGTCCACTAAGAAAATTAATAAGACGGTCTTTTAGGACATAGGTGGGTCTGCAATAGATAGGGTATAAATAGAGCAAAAAATTTATACACACTCAATTTTTACATGAATTTAAAACATGTAATTTACATGGATTATTATCACTTAATAATAATTAATTATTACACATTATGACCTCAATTTTATCATCTAACTATAGGTTAAAAAAATGTTTTGGTGTAATTAAACACATCGAATGTGAGTAAGTTTTTTTGTGGATACAAATATAATCTCGGAGAACTCTCATATGATGGTTAGATAGCTCTCACCTTACATAATATATAAATTATTGCAAACTTTATTTCTACTCTCCACAATTCCTACAAATTTCCAGATTTCAAAAGAATTCTTGATTCTATGGAAAAAAAGTATGCAAATTTATAAGTATTGAATATATGATTATGCTTTGGAGTACCCTGTCGACGTCATCGAGTTTTTCTCGTGTATTTTGATCAGATGTCCAATTTAATATATACTGAAAAATGTGTGTGTATATATATATATATATATCAACAATTGGATATAAAGAGATTTCTTGAATTGAGGAAAAGACTATAGTGTTGTCGATTCTTTTTGTATCTCAAATTTTCGGACCATATTATATAGAGTACAGGCATACAAGCATCCTCTTACAATTAAAATTAAC